CCAGTGAGGTGTACCTTGGGTCACCAGTGATTATGTATGGGTATTGTTTATATGTGATTGGTGATGGTGACTTGTAATATGTTTGTTGTGTGTGTGCGTGTTATCTATCTTTTATTTCTGCACCTGAACTTGAGTGAGATGTTACTCACTCCCTTGTTCTTTGTATATGTTTAAATTGTGTTGCAGGTGATCATTAGCATGAGAATGTGGGTGATGAGGCTTAGGCTTCAGTTGGGCATGCTCTGAGAGGATATGTGACATCGAGGCATAGCTAGGCTTAGTTTAGGATGTTATTTCCATTAAACTATTTGAAAACTCAATTTCAATTCTTTTTAATTTCATTGACATGTTATTTGGATTAAGTTTATGAATGTGAACTCTTTACCCTTATATGGTTGAAGATTTGGTTTTTTAATGATAAAGAATTTTATTTTTATAATTTTTCTACATGTATGTTGGGGTAGAAGGTGTCACAAATAGCCCTTTACGAGTGGAAGTTGATGATATTTTGAGGTTCAAGGATAGAATTTGTGTGCCTCGTAATCTCAAATTAAGGAAGATGATCTTAGAGGAAGGTCATAAAAGTATTCTTAGCATTCATTTAGGAGCTACTAAGATGTATCAGGACCTTAGGGAGATATTCTAGTGGCCTAAGGTGAAGAGAGGAGTAGAGGAATTTGTGTACTCGTGTGTAGGATGCCAGAAGTCTAAGGTAAAACAGTAGAAGTCTTTAGGATTTTTACAGCCTTTAGACGTCCCATTTTAGAAGTGAGACGGTGTGTGGATAGACCTTGGTTGTAGGTTTGCCTATAGATGCTTAAGAAATTTGATTCTTTTTGGGTTATAGTGGATAGACTCACCAAGTTTTCTTGTCTTACCTTTATTGATAATAAATATTCCTTAGAGAGATTGATAGAGTTGTACATCAGTGAGGTAGTGTGGTTATATGAGTTTTCCTACTAGTCCGTCCTGAATGCTGACAAGTCATATAGTTTCCGAAAGGGAACTAGAGAGACTACAACTTATGAATTAGAAACAAGATGCGAGGAGCCTACCCATTTCTGTTTTTAGATAAATTTCAGGGATGAAATTTCAAAAAGGGAAGGGGGAGAGAATTGTAACACCCTAATTTTCATAATTATTTTAGGGAGATTTAGTAGCCTAAAACGGGTTATTCCCAAACTGGAATGGGCCGTTCCAAACTACTAAAAAGGCCTATAACCCTAGTTAGGAACGGGCCGTTCTTGTTTAAGAATGGGTCGTTCTAGATGCGAATTTAACACATGATGAAAGGATCCAGAACGGGCCGTTTTGGCCACTTTTGACATCTATAAATAACAGACTCTGACATTGTTTCTGGACACACTCCCTGAAGACCAAGGAGAAACAAGAGAAGGAGATCAACCAGATTCTACTTTAACTTCATCTTCTACTTATCCAGGTAAAGGGGCAGTGAGAAACCTCGCTCGGGGGTGTGGGAATAATTGTTGGGTAGTAGGATTCGCTCTAATCCCTTGCTTGATGCATGCTTCTAGGAATAGGCAAGATATGAATGTTTTCTATTTTGCCTTCTAATTGTTTTGTTGTGTTCCTTGTTGAATGTGATGTATGAATATGTGATTAATTTTGAAAATAAACAAGTTTTTATATGAATTAGAGTGCTCTATGGATTCTTGAGAGAACCCTATGAGAAACAAGCAAACTATGAATGTTTTTTATTTTGCTTTCTAAATGTTCTGTTGCGTTCCTTGTGTGATGTAGAGTGTAAATATGTGTTTGATTTCAAAATTAGATAAGTTTTGATATGAATTAGAGTGTTTTGTGGGTTCCTGTGCAAAACCCTATGTAAAAACAATTATGAGTATGACTATGTGAAATGTGAACAAATGATATGAGACATGATGCGAATGACATGCTATTGTGAACACTATGACTATGAGAATGTGAAACATGATGAAATGAGATAAGCTATGACTATGAGAATGTGAAATAGGATGAAATGATATAAGCTATGACTATGAGAATGTGAAACGTGATGATATAAGACATGAAATTCCATGACAAGTAAAATGATGAGTCCATGAGTTTGTGAATGTGTGACATGCATCATATGCATTTACGTGGCTGGGGTACGAAATGGAGTACATCGTTAGGAAAGGCCCTCCAAGTGTGAAACATCTTGGAGGAGTCCTAGGGGATAGTGCAATTTGGAAGGCCCATTCTACCCGTTTGTGTGCATGGGACGTATCTTGCGCGACTTTGGTATCTCGACGTGACCCTAGCAGTACATCCTTCTAGTTGAGAGTGCACGGTTGAGCCGACATGTACTCCTAGACTACTCCAGGTATGTTGCTTTGGCAACATACCACGTGATATGTGGTTATGAGACAAGTAACTGGGGCCACATGCATGCATTTATGAGTCGAGTACATGACATCATTGCATGATGAATTACTGTTTATGTTTTACTATCGTATGTATAATTTGAATTTGCACCAGATTAATGTGTGGCTATGACTGTGCTTGTTATGATTTGTGTGTGTGTTACCTAACTGTTACTTTTACACATGAAACCAAGTGACATGTTTCTCACTACCTTGTTGCTCTTTATATGTGTTTAAATTGTGTTACAGGTGATCATCAACATAAGAATATTGGTGATAAGGCTTAGGCTTCAGTTGGGCATGCTCTGATAGGATATGTGACATCGGAGCATAGCTAGGCTTAGTTTAGGATTCATTATTGTATTTGTTTTGGAAAGACTCATGTTTCATTTTTCTATAAATTCCGCACTTGACCATGATTTAAGATTACGAATGTAAATTCTCTACTCTTAGGTTAATGGAACAATTGTTTTAATTCTAAAGATTTTATTTAACCCAAGAATATGTTTTATAATTATTTTATATGTATGTTGGGGTAGAGGGTGTCACATTCTAGAAAATACATTTTCAAAGTATGTAAAAAATAAAATTTTAAAAAATACTTTCTAGAATACTAATTTCACTATTTGAGAAAGTACTTTATGGAATATTGAAATTAATTTTCTAGAAAGAAATTTCATATAGTAAATATAATGTTGAGATTTATAGAAATGTGAAAGAGGAGAAAGTGTTAATGGAAAAAAGTACATCTCGCTCGATACCTTTGACATTGTCAAGGAAGTTGTACATGACTACAACATCGTCGCATACTAGTTCAATGGTCTGAGTGCATGTGAAAATTGAAAGAGGGAAAGGAAAAAGAGTAATGTAAAAATAAAAAAAAATTAAAATTATCTATTAAAATAGGTGAAGAAAATGGAGAAGACAATGAGATGTACGTGATAACTATAAAAGAGGGAAAAAGAAGTGTGTGAAAAAGAAAAAGAAAAAGAAAACTCTAAATTTAAAGTTATAGTTGTAAAATTTAAAAAATTAGGAAACAAAATTAAGGATACTTTAGAATTTTCTTTAAAACAAATAAATGAGATACACTTATTAATATATATATATCAAGCCAATTTTTTAATTTCAAAGTCTAACGTACTTTAATTTCTAATTAGAGGAAAGAAAAAATTGAGTTAAGAAGCCTTTTGCTCCGCTTCTAAAAATTAATCCAAACAATAAAAATTTATAAGAATCCCTCCTTCCCTTGTTCCCAAATATAAATTAAATTTGTTTTTAATCTCTTAAATTAAAAATTAATTTTTTAATCTTTGGAATTTGAAAAATAATCTTATTTTATTTTCTATGCTCAAATGGTGTGGGTGAATCTATCAAATAAAACTCACCTGTTACTGAATCCTTCACACAAACTTCACTTATTAATATCCTTATTAATGAAAACATTATATTATATCTCGTTGATACTATATAATTATTTCAATTTATTTTTGTTAATAATCTATTGGTGACTTGAAGTAACTAAAATATATTTTTTTAAATTACATGACAAAAGAAATTAATTTTCAATTTGAAAGGCACAAACATATTTAGGAAATATGTGCGGTACTTAAAACATATTTATATTTTAAGTCTAAAATGAATGATATTTCTCACATAAGTTAAAACTCATGAATCTCAACCTTTTCCAAAATTTATCATTTGATCTCTATATAAGTGCTTATACACTTACAGAACCTGGAATTCTAGCCTTAAAATTGTCTTAACAGAAGGGGTTTCAAAACTGAAAAAAAAAAAAAAAAACCTAATAATACATTAACCAAAAGTAGGTCGGAGTTGCATAATTATATTCAGAACAAAAAGTCAACAGGGACAGCTGATGCTGATGCTTGATGTGTAATTCTAGACAAAAAAAGACCCTGAAAAATAGGCCTTCTAGATTATATATACTAGGGAAGTTACTTCACTCTTGTTAAACAAACTCTCTTTTATCATAACCTAGCTTGATCATCATTTCAAGGTTGGAATACAGACTTGCATTTTTAAACCTTGAAGTGCTTTTCAAGGATGGTTAGAGGAATGGCTGACTAAATTCTTCACCTTGAGCCTATTTTTTAAAAAGGAAAAAAAATCAAAGAAACTCACATTTTGAATATGTTACATAAACTTTAGGCAACAAGGGGGACATAAGGCTTTTGTGGGGACTGCAAGTTGCACTGGGTGTACAATATCAGTGGAAGAGCCTTCATTCACATGCATGATCAGCACAGCAAAAGATAATTGATACAATTAAATCACATAATAGGCACCAGCAAGTTATTAATCATAGAATAATGCTATATTAAGGAAGCTATAAAAGTAATAAAACATTAAATGTCATTTATCTATTTCCTTCTTTTTTTAATCGAAGCGGAGACTTATAATCGGCCTTACAAGGGGAAAGGGAGAGATTGTAGGAGGTAGAACTTTTGGACTCAACTCGTTCTGCACAGCTTAACCAAGTGACCTGACTTGAGGGGACAACATATATCCATCTAAGTGAAATTTTATATTACTATTATGTTCTATAGATCTTGCAAAATAATAATATCAAACTGGAGAGATAAAAAGTAGCTATTGAGAAAACCATTGTTATTTGTCATATAAGTAATAAGTGATACATGCACAATTTACTGGTGTATTTGTTGTTAGAGTAACCAGAATGAGAGGAATATTCTGTACAGTTAACTCTACACAAGTGACCTAAAACAAGCATAAAAACAAAACTGGGAGGAAAACAGAAAGAGAAAAATACCAACAAAAAATACTTTTGATTCTCACATGGAATTGGCACCATATACTGAATAACTTGAAACCATCGCTACGGCTCCCACTTCATCTTCATAGAATGAAGCAAACATCTTCAGGCACATATGGCAATGTCATTGTCTTAGGCATCTATTAATAAACTCCGGCAAAACTCTTACGGATGAGAGACAAACCACAAGAGCAGAACAGAACCATGAACAAGATTCATAGTACTAGTCTCATCTGAAGAGGAACCCTGGTTACACTACTCTGTACATCTGAAATTGCTTATATAAACCTGCGATTGAATAACTACCCTCCCAATTCTGAAACCAGGAAGCACGGTGAACCCCACCTTTGCCCTCCCCTTGTGCGGCCAGGTAAATCTCTTTGTGACATCTTCCATGTATATCATAGAAAACTCCACACCCCTTTCCACCTGAAAAATCTCAACAACAGGATCAAACGCATAGGACAACTTATGCAGTGTCCAAACAGCACTAGCCATTCCAACAAATGCCTCATAGAACATACTCAACGACCTCCACGAGTTCAACACCGCCTCCTTCTCCTCCAAATTCACAAAAATGGAGGACTCCATCGAAGGATGGATGAGCCTCTCGTACTTGTGCTCGCAGAACCGCGAAAACTCGCAACCCGGGTGAATCCCCAGCAAATCCATCGGATTGCTAGACACATGCTCCAGCAATTGTTTCAAACAACCACTTCTGTCCGACACCGTTTGTTCCAGTCCGAAATTTAACGAATCAAAACCATGAAACATCCCCAAACAAACGTACGACAAAAGCGCGTACTGGTTGTGCCCTTTCTTGGCGTAATCGACGTTGGGATGAACTGCGTTGGCCGCTAAACCCAAATCCCACCCTGCTTTCCTCATCAAGCCGATCAGAATCTTGGTGAACCTATGCGTCGCTCTAGAAGAGTCGTGCAACAAGGAATCGAAAACCTTGACAGTTAACAGAACATCACAAGAGGGGTTCAGATTCAAAGTGTTGGCGCAAAGCTTCTTGGTCAAAGTCACGTTACCACTGCGAATCTCGTCGAGTTTGGCTCTGAGCGCCACCACCTCGTCGTGCTTCTGCTCCAGTTCCCACTGCAAGCGGTTGGAGACGGTGCCGAGGGTTCTCAGTTTGCTTTGGTTCTCTTCAACCTCAGCCTCCAAACACGACCCAAACGGTAAACCGGGACCCTCGGGGTTGCAGTAGAATTTCTTTAACTCCGAGAGCCTCTGGAGGTGCGAGACCAACACCTTGTCCGCGCTCGTCACGTGATCTTCCACGAACGGCACGTGTGCGCTCTGGAGCTGGAAGTAGGAAGCTTCGAACGCGGACACGGCAGCGAAGACCGAGGAGATCAGGCCGTGCGTGGTTTCTCTAATCTGAGCTTCGGTTAGCGGTGCCGTCTTTTCGGCGATCTGAGGCGGAGTCGGTGGCGGCGATTGCGGCGGCGGCGGCGGGGAGTAGTTATGGGAGGGGTCGGGGTCGGGTTTGATGACGACGACTTTTTGGTCGGTGATGATTTCTTCGGCGGAGTCGAGGAGGGAGAAGCCGTCGGAGTCGTCGAGGGGGGAGGGGTTTTCGTCGGCGAAGAACTCGAAGGTTTTGGTCTTGAAAGCGAGAGCGAATTTCTGGAACATTTCGGAGATTTGGGGGGCTTTGGCGGAGGAGGCATCCATTTCTGGCATCATGGTTTGGGAGAGAGAAAGGTGGAATTGAATTCTACTATGGTATTGGCCTATTGGCCTGTTGGGGTGCCAGCTACTAGTGAATGATGATGGACGTGGGAATGTGCTTTGGATGTCTTGGAAGGAAGGGCACATGGGGTTCGGTAGTTTTTTCCAATTTTCAGACATTTGTTTTAACTTTTTTTAATGGGAGGCTGTTGGGGCATGTGTGTAGTACTACTACTTCTCTAGGTTATGAGTCACTTTTGAAAGGAATATTGTGTTATTCCGATTCTCGTTAACGGTAAAATGGAAGAAAAACATGCCTTAGCGGAGTTGCTAATTCGCTTCATTCCGACCGTTAATCTCTACTTTTTTAGGAAACTAATTTACCACTTATTGCATACCATCCGGAAGTGTCAAGAATGGTTTCACTCATTCGGAGCTTCCTTTAAGTTACTATAAATTATTTCTCTACTCCCTCAAAAAAAGTACTATTTTGAAAAGTGGTGATTATACTTAAAAAAAAAATATTTGATGTCTAAGTTAATGAATGTTTGAATTGCTTGTGTCTATTATTAAAAGTAAGGTTACCTTTTGAAATTGAGATCCATGTATATATAAATGAAAAAATGTTACTAATACAGATCTAGTTATTTAAGTACATTAAAGACCTTTTATTATCGTGTAACGATCAAATGTTACTTTTGTAAGGCTTGATTATATACAGGTGTTTAATAGGCTGAGTACTACCTAGCATATGGAATATGGAATTGTTTTATTCGGCCTAAAAACGAGCACTATTCGGATCCTTACTATGTTGTGGAAGTATCCTTTTAATAAAAGGTCGATAGTTGATATGTCCTTGGTTCCGAGACCTACTCGGTACGTAAGCTCCTAAGTTTTCAACTCTTGGGATTGTCAGAATTCGAATAATTTCAATCTTGCCAACAGATGGTTTGAACTTCCATTTTGAAAATCTCATCGATTAAAGAATGCTCAGAAACTAGACTAATCGTTAATCAATGGAAAGAAAAGAGTTTGAAGGAGTCGCCACCAATATTTTACTCAAAACATCAGAAAAAGAAAAGGTTTTCAAAATTGCAATAATGGCCTTTATAGCCGGAATTGGGTTCGGGGGTTGGTTACATGTAGGAAAGGTGTTAGGCACCCTACAATGGCCTAATTTGGTACCCTATTACTGTAATGCAGCTAGTAGACTGGAATAGGGCGTTCCAAATTTGGAACGGGTAGTTCCAAACTACTAAAACAAGGGTGATTTAGTAGCCTAGAACGGACCGTTTCCAAACTGGAATGGGCTATGTGGCACTTCAGAAGATCTCATGTAGAGGGAGGGTGCTTTAGAAGATCTCGTGTAGAGGGAGGTCCTTTGGCTTCTTCTCTCGTAAAGGTATTTTCAACCCATATCCTAATCATTTCTTAAGAAGTAGGAATGGGTAGAAGCGATGATAGAGTTTTCCATGGAGTCTACTTCTCAAGAGGAACTTTCAAGTTGTCTCTCGATTTTCAGCTCGAACAAACATTACTTTTTTTTGCCTAGAACTCCCTTTGCAGGTTTTCATTCTACCAGCTTCTTAATAAGCAATGCTTCTCTCTTGTTAAAATCACCTTTCGAGAAAGCTCTATTCACTTTGCCATAGTGTTTTAGGGATTCGTCCTCCTCAGGTTCTCTTTATTAGCTTACAACTCGTTAGAAGTGTGGATCCATCCATTCCTAGTCGTTTCTCGTATTCCGCTTGGATTTCACGGTTGCATGACACGACTTTATTCTCTTGGGGCAAGAGTTGGCGTCTTAATGATTATGGAGTTCTTTACCCTAAACTTTTTATGCATGACTTACTTTCCATTGTCGCAACCCGAAAATTTCCGATCTCGCGACCTATGGTTTAGACATCTTTTTAAAGGTCTCATCAATTAAGGAATGCCCGAACACTAGACTAATCTTTAATTAATGGTTTTGAAAAATGAGTTCATGGAGTCGCCACCAATATTTTACTCAAAACATTGGAAAAAGAAAAAGTTTTTAAAAAGTCCAATAATGGCCTTAATAACCAAAATTGGGTTCGAGGGTCGGTTACGTGTAGGGAAGGTATTAAGCACCCCTACAACGCCCTTAATCGGTAACCTATGATGAAATTACAATTAAAAATAATAATAATA